GAGAAGGCCCTCCCATTCCACCATTTTTAGATGTGGGAAGTTCACAAGTGTTGCACATTACACATATTTTCAGACTTTTTCAAAGCATTGACCATTTATGCTGAGTTTTTCTCTTCTCTTTCTTTTGTCACAAAAAGTACTATTTGTTATCTGGGAAAGCTCTCTGGGAGAGGTAGTGGTCTTCCATATTACAGAAAATATTGTACTTGGTGACTTCCTATTCATTCAAGGGATGTTAGAGTCCATTTTCAGTGTGAGCTAGAGGGACTGAGTCTCTAACAGTTAAGAAGGGAAGAATAAGCCCAGGGGTGGGAGTGGAGCAGAGGTTCTCTTTCCCTCTCAGGAAGGTGGGGATGGGGATTGTGGAGGTAAAGGGAGGGAGATCTCAGCATTCAACCAAGTGGGGAAAAGGGCAATGCTGATAGGACATTTGGGAGAAGTGTTTCCTATACAGCATTCTCCACTGGGGCCTCCTATACCTCCTGGGATCTGAATATTGAATGATCTGAGATAGAGAAAGGGAATGATTACATTCTCAAAAGATATCTTGGTTTGAAACCAGAACCATACAACCTTCTGTAGAAGATTCTCCAGTTTGGGGTGGGGGGAGATGGACTCAGAATTCCTTCGAATCTATTTTATTTTGTGTTTCTTGGCTGAAACGTTTGTTTCTCTATTGTTTTAAGCTGATCTGACTCAGCAATGGTTACAACATTGACCAGTGAAGTCATGTCTCTGCTGACGGGCATAGTCTGTAAAATGCAACTGGTGTTTTCCAAATAATCTTTTAGGCCTCAACAAACATTTTGGGATGAATGGTATTATTTATTTTCCCAAAGTAAAATGTCAGTTTTTCTGAACTGCTTCACTGACTCATTGTTTAGATCTTATTATCGATTTAAAAGTACCATTAATTACATTAGACTTTTTTTCAGCAAATTACTCACTGGGCATTAACCAGATAATCCTCTGATTTCATCAGTGGTGTACATCTTTGATGTCATCAGAATCAAGGGTATCCAAGATAGGAACTCATTCCCCTTTACCAATTCAGACTATATTAAGCCTTTGACTTAGTCCATAGGTAAATCCTAGTTAAACATAAACCCCTATGAGGACAGGGACTTGCTCACTTTTGTATTTGTGTCCCCAGCACCTGGCATAGTGCTGAGTACAAAGTAGGCTTTATAAATATTTGTTGATTGATTCATCTTTGTGAGTTGAATGGGGCCCATAGAGACTAAGTGACTTTTCCTTTATTACCTCCAGTATTAAATATAAAATCCTATTTGTCTTTAAGTCCTTCACAATCTAACTTCTTCCTACCTTTCCAGTCTTCTAATACTTTACTCTTCCTCACACACTCTATAAGCCAACTATACTCCCCTACTTGTTTTTCATTACATAGCATACAATCACCACACTCCAGTGCATGTATGTGCACTGGCTGCCCCTCATACCTGGAACACTTTCCCACCTCACTGATGACTCCTGGCTTTTCTGGTTTCCCTCAAGACAGCTCAAATTCCACCTTATTTGGAAGGCCTTTCCTATCCACCTCATCCCACCTCCTCCAGTTTCTGCCCTCTAAAATCAACATGAATTTTCATCATATGTATCTTGCATGTATATAAGTATTTGCAAATTGTCTTCCTCATTAGAATGTGAGCTCCTTGGGGAAAATAATGGTGTGGGCCTTTTTGCTTTTGTTTGTATCACCAGTGCTTAGTATGGAGCCTGGCATAGAGTAAGAATTTAATAAATGTTTATTGACTGATTGTCTGGTGAGCCTCAGAGATGAGATTAGAGCTCAGGTCTTCCTGACTCCAACCCTTCAGTCGTTGGTCCTACCATCTCTGTTAAATAGTTATCTAAGGATAAACAGTCCTTAAATACAAAGAAGAAATCTTTCAGTCACTGTCTTAGCATCCAACTGGGACTTGCTAGCACTAAGGTAATGATAATAATGATGATGATCATAATAAGCTCCATCTACATAGCATTTAAAGGTTTACACAGTGCTTTGCCATCCACCAGACACCTAAATTCCCATTGCTCTCAGTCAGAGCAATTGGGGGTTAGGCTAACTGTTGTAATGTCTCATATTCAGCTGCCTGTATAGATAGCTGCTCAGCTATATTAAAGGGATTGTTTGGATAATGTCCCCCAAGTGCTCTTTGATTGGCTAGAAAAATCTCATTTGGTTTCTTGCCAAGCTTCAAAGATTGGGCCTGGGGAATTTGGTACTGAGCCAAAGTGTAACATTCTCAGCATGACAGATAATCTTATTTCTTATGTATACATAAGAGCTGAGTCTCAATAGGCAAGAAGGAAGGATTTAATGGCTATCAGGATAGCATTACTTGGCGTTGAATTAATATTTTTATTTGATTTAATCATTTTGGTAAAATGGGATTTTTATTCTCAAGTATCTGCATAATTATTCAGCCAACCCTTGGTTTTCTAACTAATCAACAGATATTTTTCAAACACCTATTTTGTACAAGAGAGTTAACTAGGTACTTTGGAGGATACAAAGATAAAGTGGGACATAGCCACTGTGCTCCAGATGCTTAAAATCTTGCCCTTTTAGAGAGAGATGGTGTGATAGGAAAACCACTGGATTTGGAGTCAAAACATTTAGGCTTAAATTCTGGTCCTGCTTCTCACTACCTATGTGAACTTGGTCAAGCCACTTGATCTCTGGGAATTTCAGTTTCTACATCTATAAAATTAAGAGACTAGACCATGTGGTCTTCAAGGTCCTTTCAAGCTCTATATCAATGACACTATAATTTGGATACCTAATACCATAACTAAATATCAAGGCAATCCAGAAAAGGTGAAGTATAAGATTTGGCAATTATCTGGATAACTTGGGCAAAATTGAGCTTATTTAGCTAAATTATTTAAGTGACTATTGTTGTATACACAATTTGATTTATCTGACTTTATGTACCCTACAGTAAAGATTATTGCTCTCACCCGTTATTGCTGATCAGACTATGAGATTGTTTTTTCAATTAACAATCAAAATGACCCATATGCTAAGGTTAAGTGAAAAATTATACTTTACTCAACTTTTGGTCACTTATCTACACATGAGAAAGAATTTTATCTATGGGAACAAATAGTCTTTATTATTACCCAAAACTCTTCATTATATGGTTGAGATTAATAATATTATGGCATTTAGTGAATTAAATGCCTCATTTTCTAAATTACTTTTTTAAAAATAGTCCTGATAATTGATTACAAACTCACAGAATCTCTAAGTTGGAAACTATGTTGTGGCCATCTTGTCTTACACATACATAAATCCAATTTTACAACATACCTGACATTGACATAGCTTTTATCACGAAGTAGAACTTACTGACTACAAGGCCAGTCATTCACTTTTTGGATGGCTCTAATGAAAAAAAATTTTCTAGTCATCAACTCTAATTTTTTTTTTCTTTACTCTTCTACTCTTTGCTTGTAATTGTGCCTTCTAGGACCAAGTAGAACAAGTTTAATACCTTTTCTATGAGACTCTCAGATATGTGTCCAGTCCCTGAAATAACCCTTCATCTTATCTCCCTAACCCCCACCTCACAAACTTGCTATTTCTCTGGGCTAAACGTTCCCAGTTCTTTCAATAAATCTTCATATAGAAAGAACTCAAGGTTCTCAGGATAGTAAATATACTGGTTGTGTTCCTCTAGACATATTCCATTTTCTCAATGGCTTTCCTTAAATGTATCATCTAGAACAGAGTACAATACTATAGATGTGATCTGAACAGAGCAGAATATAGCAGTATTATCTTTCTTTTTAATTCCTGAAAGTGATATCTATCTTAATGCAATCTAAGTTCACATAAGCTTTTTTGGCTACAATATCACAGTTGAATATGTTAAACTTGTAGATTTCTACATTCTACAGATCTTTGTCAAAAGAATTATTGTTTAGTCATGTCTCTCCTGTCTTGTACTTGTGAAGTTGATTTTTGAATCCAAGTGTAAAAATTTACATTCATCCCAATTAAGTATTTTTAAAGACCATTATTAACAAAATAATAATGCAGAACATGAGAAGCAGTACAGCAAACAGTATAGAATAGTAAATTTTGATTCCAAAAATCCTAACTTCAAATTCCAACTTTGGCACTTGCTCGCTATATGGTCATAAGTAAATCATTTAATCTCTCTGGACTGCAGGTAACTCTCTAAGATTGTGCTATAAATAGGTTATAATCTTCATCAGAAGATGTAGTTTTCACATTGACAAAAATCACAGGACTTTGACATTGTGACTTAATGTAATATCTATTTATCTACACTTTATAAGAATTTTGAAAACTATTTAATCCTCATAGCATGCTTTGAAAGGATTAATACAGTTAATCTCATTGTTAATATTTATACCAATAATGAAATACCTGTTGATTATTTCCTAGTTTTTAATTAAATTCTCCCTCCCTCCTAGTTATTTCCCATTTCTTCATTATGCAATTTCCCCACCAAGGTATTAGTGAAATAATTCTCTGCCACCAGCTGGCTTTAAGTAGAAGCTAATTCCAACTTCCATGCAATCTATCAAAAATTATATTAAATAATTTTAAAAGTAAAATCAAAAACCACCTTCTAAAAGCAGGCTACTTTTTATTCTTTATTTCAACAAAATTTCCAGTCTTTATCACATACATCATTTGCAATTCTTATCTGTATGTCAGTACAAATGTAACTGATGATTACCTAAAATAGCTTTATAAGTATTCCTGAAAGCAAAATGCATTTCTGAACTTTTTATGCAAATACATAAACATATACTAGACACATTCAGCTATCTATTAATGGAGGCGATGACTGAAATGGAAAACAGCAGATAATTCAAAAGCATGTCTATGTCTTTATAACACCAACATGAACTGTGGAAGAGTGAAAAATATAGCCAATTAGGCAATTTTTTTTGTTATAAAGTTATTAAGTGGGCTAATTTGTTCATTCAATTTACTATTTGCTCTGTGTGTGTGTGTGTGTGTGTGTGTGTGTGTGTGTGTGTGTGTGTGTGTTCTGATACTGATTTGGGGAAGGGGAACATACACTAGTTTTAGTTGTGTGACTGAACATGCCCAGACAGACAGACAGATATACATGTACGCAGTCACACACACACACTACACATTTTTGCCCTCATCGAATAAGTCTTCCTTCCCCTGCCACAAAATTACCATATGTTTTTAGCATTAGAGCTACAGCATGAGAGCTAGTCTAAGTAGGCAGGGATGGTTCAGGAACATGGCAAATGGGTGCTGGAGCAACATCCACAGAAACATATGTTTGTATATGCATGGATATTCTATCCACATGCAAGTATCTCATCAGACTTTGCTAATATAAATTAGTAATATAAATATTATTCCATTATTCCATTATTCCATTTGAGTAATGATGTCATATCTAAAATTAACCCAAATAAGAAACATAAGAGCCTGAGAAGAAAATATTTAAATAAATTGAAATAAAGCAACAAATTACAAAAATTAATTCTTACATGATCATAATACTGGTCAAGTATAATATTGTAAATACTGTTATACAATCCATTTAAATAATTTCCTTCAGTGCTAAGATATAATTTAATTTACAAAATTAAATTGTAAATTGAGACAAATAAGGAATGTTCAACAAACAAGAAAATAAAATGTACATAGTAAAAAAAACACACACACACACAAACATGATGGTCTATTTTTTTTAAGAAGGCTTCATTTAGAAAGTGGAGGGTAAAGTCCATTTTAAATGTACAACAGTGTAGCATATATACAAAGATAAATGAGAGAAAATTTTTCATTCTATAATACAAGTCAAATAAATCTATTCCTGGGGGTTTCCTGCTGTGTTAACCCAATTCAACCACAGAATGAGGCCTTTCATTTTCATTACATCACATAAAATTCCAAGGCACTTTTTCTTCAAATTAGGATTATCTTTTCTGAGACAATCTGTAGGAGAAAAGAAGACAAAAATTCAATTTTAAACTTACTTTTCTGTGTTAAAAATAATCTAGAATGTTTTGATACATAGATAAGTTACCTTTTCATGTACATTTCAGAAAAATTATTGATATTTTAAATTTAAAGTATTTGTGAATTCATCATTGGTTGGAGAGGTAGGAGAGAAGGGAGTATTGTCTCTTTTTTAACCCAAATTTTTAATCCAAAGAATGAAGACTAATACGCATTAGGTCTTATCACTTTAAAAGCCACATAATAGGAATAATAAATCACCCTTTCATGTTACGTGGTATCCAGATAAAAGGAAAGAAAAGTTAGAATTCACTACTTGAAAATTTGAAAAAAATAATGTTAAATAAAAACACTTAAGGACACTAATAGATCTAATTTGATTTCTAAGTAACTATTTAGAAGATAAAAAACAAGATAAATTCCTTTAGCAAAAAAAAAGAGAGGAAAGGTCTAGTATTTTAAAGTCAAATATTTGCTATTTCTTTCTTCTAAATGTCTAGCTTTGATAGAATATAGTTTCAAATAAGATTTTAAATTCTAATAGAGTATCTAGATTTTGTGGTTTCTTCCTTTTTTTTATTATTTTATTCACAATTTGTTTTCCCTTAGATCCATATTATTAAGTTAAAGAAGTTTTTTAAGTAACCAACAATGGAGCTAATAAAATAATTTCACTGTTACTTAATTTGGAGGAGCTTATCAAGTTCATCACATAATTTGTCCACTTTGTGCTGTGTGCACATGAGAAGCAATTATCATCATAATAATCTTTTTGCTCATTCTCAGTCATAAGCATTATAAGAAAACATGACAAAGTAAAAGTGTACAAAGATGAATGAAGACCAATGTGTACAATGAGAGTATATTCCACTAGAAGACCTGGGATAACAGTGTATATCACATTTTGTGTGAGGAGCAATTTTAGTCTTTTCATTCTACCTATAGACTTGTTCATGTATAAACAGATACAAAAAGTAGCCCTTTTGCAAATGAACCTATCCACTTAAGAATTAACATAGAACTTAAGAAAACACAGCAAAAAGCTTGATCCAAGTCTAGTTAGGCAAGAATTTTTATTTTCAAAACACATTTTGTTGATTTCAAAACAATAAAGTTAATGTAAGATAATTTTCAATGTATTTTAACTTCTTAATCAAGCTTTTCCCTTTACTTGGGAAGATAGTAATTCAGTTTTTAGGGTGGGTCAATTTTCAAATTGACAACTTACAGCATAAGGGCCATATAATATTTGTAATATGAATGTCTATTAAAAGTTGGAGTTATCTTTATTGGGATGATCTGTGGGGAGGGGGTAAAAAGACAAAATATCATTTTAACTTAGTTTTCAAAGTACAGAAAGTACATAAAGAAAGTGAAATTTTAATTCATCAATAATTTTTTTAATGTACATTTCCCAAGCTTTCAAAGAAACCCTGTACTTTAAGAAGGTGACATGCTGCGATATTTTTGGAACTTATAACATTTCTGCTGAAACATTTTAGGAAAGTTTATGAAAATGTCAGTCAAATACCAGTGTACTTGTGGAAGCTATGAAATATAAAGGCAGGTTTAGTTAGTTAGTGTCAGAAAGCGAGACTATATGACTTAGAGCCATTCTAATTCATCATGCTATAATTCATATCTAAACTTTATAATATTCAGAAGATAAAGAAACAAAATTAATTTGGCCTGAGTTTTAAAATTTTTGTTATTATATTGTTTTGAACACCACCCTAATGGTTTTCTTGAATGGACTTCTCCATGGTGCTGAAATTCAGGGTAGGAAAGTTTTACTGATTACTTAAAAAAAACTATAAATTCAGAAGATCTTTGGCAAATGGAATACTTTCATATGGGGGAAGGTAATTTTTCTTGGGTGTACATATTCTATTTTGGGATAGAACAGATTTATGTTTGTACCAATTTTCAGTAGCTAATTCAGAGTCCTACCTAAATGCAAGCTACTAAGGAAGAAAAGATGTACTGCCAGGACCTTTTAAAATACTTTTATTTGGATAAATTAAGCCTGCCAGATTGCAAACAAATAGGCAAAATCCGACTCATCACTTTGCTCATGTTTGAGTTTAGGCTGACATTAAAAGGTCTACATGATTTCATTTTAATTTTTTTCTACTACTTTTTCCTTCCTCTCATTATTATAGCTACCCATGTTACACGAAGCAAAATTTTTTTAAGTTTCACTTTAACTTTACAACACATTTTAATAATTTGGAAGATTAAGTGCTATTAAACATATCTGTTTTTATGATGTCTTTCTGGAGCTGACTACACAATTGTTTCACACACATACAATTTCCCAAACATAAGCAAACTCTCTCTTTTGTAATGAGTATTGAGCCCAGCTCATTCTTTAGCTTCAATACCCACACTGGTGGACTACTTCAATGGGCTACTCATCAAACTCTATGTCACAATCTGAAAAACAAACATTCTTCCTCTATTTGGGTTTTGCCTCCATGTGTGGATGGTTACACTGGTTTATTTCATGACAATGGATCTCATTGGTGGAAACTCTGTAATATTCTGAGACTTGATACAATCAATAATATTGCATCCCAAACTAGGAGAATGAAGAAGACCTCACTACTCATGTCAAATGATACAATATTTGTAAAACATGTTGCAAGATATTAAAGCGCTAGATAAATATGAACTAGTACTATATGTAGGGAATCCTTCTTTAGTTTGAATTGTGCTCTACCAAACCAATCATATATCACCCCATTTTGTGTCTCACTCAAATTGATACATAAATTATAAAGTTATCTTTGTCATCTCCATCTATAAACAATAATTTGATGGTATGTGACTCCTTTTCCAGTGGCCTGTGAGTTGCTATGCTACTAGAGGTACTGAATAAACACTTATTCTGTGCCAAGATTTACTGACTTACTGGGAATACAAAGATAGAAATAAAAAAAAATCCCTACCCTCAAGGACCTTACATTCCACCCAAGAGGAGAGTGTACACATGTAAGTAAATAGAAAATAATTTGGGACATGTTAACAACTGAGCGGGATGTGTTAGTAAAAAAAAAAATCCTCATGTAAGAGATGACATTGATCTGAACTTTGAAGGAACTAGGTATTCTAAGAGGCAGAAGTGAAGTTGGAGTTTATTCCTAGCAGGGGCAACAGTCTGTGCAAAGACAGAGACATAGGAGATAAAATGTTGTGTATGATTATCAGAAAGTAGGCCAGGTTTGACTAGAACATATATTGTAGGAGGAATAGTAATGAGAAATCACTTTGAAAAGACACACAGAAGTGGATGGTAAAGGGCTTTGAAAGACAAAGAAAAGAGTCCATATTTTCCCCCAAGAAGCAATAGGGGGAGACACAAGAGCTTTTGAGTTGAATAATCCCTTATTCAGTTGTGTCTTTCACATTATCATCTAGCTGTGTGGAGGATGAATTCAAAAGAGAGAGAGAGTTGAGGGAGGTAAACAAATTAGGAAGCCATTGAAATATTACAGGTGGGGGCAGCTAGGTGCTGCAGTGGATAGAGCACGAGCCCTGGAGTCAGGAGGACCTGAGTTCAAATCCAGCCTCAGACACATGACACACACTAGCTGTGTGACTCTGGGCAAGACTCCCTGGAGATCTAAATAAAGTTGGCAGAGTTCATTTTATTGTGTCTCTAAAGGCAACAAAAATATCTTTGCTTGGCCTGTAGTCATCTCACCTTGTCATGCTCAGGATGAAGATATGAAAAAGGAAAACCACTATGAAGAAAACACACCTTATTAACCTGTCTGTTGCAGAGGATGAAGAGGTAGAAAAATTCTAGGAAGAGCTTGACAAAATCATGCAAGTAAAGTCAATGGATATATTGATATCTTGTGGCTTCACTACAAGAATACAAGCAGAGAAGGCTGACATATAAATATACACATATACACATACACATAATATATATGTACAGTTGAAAATATGGTTTGAGGTGAAAAAGTAAAATATGCCAAAAACTTATGTACTATTCAAGAGTTTGTATATTATTAATAGTTTGTCCTTTCTTTTTCTCTCTCTTTTTTTTTTTGGTTAGGCAATTGGAGTTAAGTGACTTGCCCAAGGTCTCACAGCTAGTAAGTGTCTGAGGCTGGATTTGAACTCAGGTCTTCCTGACTCCAGAGCTGGTGTTCTATCCACTGTACCACCTAGCTGCCCCTCATTTATAGTTTATCAAAAAACAAAGGTATTAGCAGTTTCATATGACTTGGTCTATGACTATCAATATTGGCATATGACAACAATGACATATAGCACTACACGCATTACAGGTAAATAAATTTTCCATTACTGGAAAATGACAATTTGCCTTAGCTCTTAGTTCTCCCTGGTAACAGACAATAGAATGAGAACATTTAGTTACATGAAAACTACATGTTGGATTAATTAGCTTCATGCTACTTTATTAGTCACATCCTGATAATAAAGCCAGGAAATGCAGCAGAAGGATGATACAAAAATAGGTACATACTTACATGCCACATTTTCTAAGGCTGTGTACACAGCGGGCTCACTGCTAACCTTGTTAGCAGTCTTGCACATCTTTTGTAATCTATAAAAAATAATGAATAGAAAATGCTTCATTTGAGATACTATACAACTAGGAAACTCAACAGTAGTTGTTTGCTTAAGTTATCATTTATCATTGTGATTAATGGTTATATCATCATATGTAACTAAATGAAACAAATCTTTGAAGGCATAGAGTTTATTTTTTATTTCTTTTGTTTCCCCAGTTGCAATGAACATTTGCTTCACATGCAGTTGGCACTCATCAAATCCTTGCTTAATTAAGTAATTTTGCTTTGGTTTCAAGGTGATTTTCTTCATCTCTAGATCTAACAAGATATTCTAAAGCTGGCTTAGTTTTGTTAACAGTTTTTCCTTAAGACAATATTTTATTTTCTTAAACACAAGGTTAAAAATTCGGAAAAAAGACTTTAAATAAACCTGTTATATTAGATACTAGCAAGTTCAATAATTTCGTGGTCATCCACTCCAGCTGCCACCTCATACAGAAATTTCCTCAACAATATCCCTAATAGTAGTCATTCAACCTATGCTTGAAACTTTGGAGAAAAAGGAAATTCATTACTTCACAAGGCAGTACTTCTCATTTATGGACAGTTCTATTGTTAAGACAGTTTTCCTTATATTGAGCCAAAATATACCTTGCTATAGCTCCCATGCAATGGTCCTAGTTCATCCCTATGGAGCTATATGGATTAAATTTAATGTGCCTTCCATATACAGTCATCTAGATATATGAACACTGCTAACACAACTATGTCTTTAGCCTCAATATTTCTGTTTCCTTCCATTATTCTTCATATGATTTTTAAGCCTCCTCAAAATCTTCCTTTGGATATATTCTGTTTTTTTAATGTCCCTCCTAAAGAAACGACCACAGTAATTTGTATCTGATCTGATTGGAACTAAGTAGAGTTGGGACCATTACTTCCTATGTTCTAGGCACTATACTTGTATTAACACTATATGACATCCTTGAATTTTTTGGCTGCTTCATCACACTGTTTCCATATTTTGTTGAAATATTTTAAAGATTTGAAAATAGATTTTATTTATATAACATATTTTAATATTATCAATACATCTCTCTACTCCCTCCCTGAGAGCAATCCTTATGAAATTTGGTCAACTACAATCCATAAGCATTTTTCGTAGAAAGTAAAGCTGAATCAGTTCTTGCCCATGTATGATTATAATATAATATAATATAATATAATATAATATAATATAATATAATATAATATAATATAATATAATATAATATAATATAATATAATATAATATAATATAATATAATATAATATAATATAATATAATATAATATAACATAATATAATATAATATAACATAACATAACATAACATAACATAACATAACATAACATAACATAACATAACATAACATAACATAATATAACATGATATAATATAATATAATATGATATAATATAATATAATATAATATGATTAATATAATATAATATAATTAATATAATATAATATAATACAATATAATATAATATAATATAATATAATATAATATAATATAATATAATATAATATAATATAATATAATATAATATAATATAATATAATATAATATAATATAATATAATATAATATAATATAATATAATATAATTAATATAATATAATTAATATAATATAATTAATATAATATAATAGTTATGGTTGCAGAGAACCAAAAATCATCCAACTCTGCTCCATAGCCTTCACAACATGCACAATGAATCCTCTATTTTATAGAAGACTCAGAAGGACTCTTTTGTACAGTAAAAAGAAAACATGACAAATTCCTTAAGCAATCTATGAGAAATCTTGCTGTCTATGATATATTGAAATCTATGAGAACCTTGATATAAATCATAAAGTGGGACCAAAAATAAATTGAATATTGCAGGAAGTTTGTGGGTGAGGTACTGAGAAGTACCTCAAGTATCACAAGTCAGACAATTTCCTATTCACAGGCATGCAAGCATGCAGCATCCCAGCTCTTAGTCCCACAGGTAAGTGTGAATAGTGGCGTAGGCTTATGGTGAGATTACTAATCCAGCTGAGAGTACAGATCTCTGAGTCTCTGTTCTTATATCTTACTGTTGCTGCTGGGCAGATTCGCAGGGATCAAACTGGAGAGAGACTGTAGAAGTCACTCAGTGAACAGACAGTGAACACCCTTTGTTGATCATTGGTCCATTGTAACTAGGAAAGTGCTATCTGTGGATATCTGGATTAAAGTTTGCTAAACTGGTTATTATCAGGAAAGTCTCATATTCCTTGTCTAAATGAAGCTGACTAAACCAGTTATTGGGTACATAGTAACTTTCTGGTACATAGGCTGGTCAATCTGTGTTCATATAATTCTGTCAGCTAGGACCTAGTAATAGGCTAATCTGCACAAATATATGCAGTCATTCTTTTCTATTCATTGGTTTTATTTTCATCAGAATATATGCTTATTGGAGACTATTATATGTAGGAAGATGGAGGAGACTTGTATTTTAAATTATATCATTTTAATGTTATATTTGAAAATATCATTACTTTCTGCAATTTGGGTTTCCAGAGGAATATGTTCAATAATTTTTTTAAAATAAGACTGCATTGTCCAGGAGAATTTACAACCTTTGTATGTATGGTTATATACTAGGAGCTACAAAGATACTTCTTTTTGTTTTTCAATTATTATCTTGTGAAGAATTTTTAACTTATAATTCAGATAATATTTTATCATCACATGGATGGAAAATATTTATTGCCAGATATTTTTGAAAGATGATAAAAATCCATTTGGGTCTTGATGGAATCTGGGTATATTCCCATTTAGAAACTGGTACCACTCAATATATTTGCAATAGGATACAGCACTCAAATTGTGTCAGTTGTATAAATAACATCACACAGTGTTTAGTCTATTGCATTCCAAATGTCAGGAGCATGTGGTTAAAGATCACGTGCATTTACTGGAGAAAGATTACATTTAAAGAAAAAAAGTACTTTCAGTCTTACTTACAAGCTGGTATAGTGCAATCCCTAGTATTGTGATACAGTCGATGGAAGTGTTTGCTACATTCAGCTGAAAATGTGACTGGTCCTATTTAATGGTAAAAGAATGTTTATTATAAACAGAGAGCCATTATCCAAACTACTTTGCTAGTACTTTATTGACAGGGATAGTGTAGCTGCAATAGTTCACAACCTTGTATTCCCTTAAAAGAGCATGACCATTCTCCCATATCCTTATCCCTCTGTTGTGGGAAGAAGCAAATCAGGCTTATCATAAATATTAAAAAAAAATCTTCAAACTTTGCCATCCATTATCCATAGTTCACATAATGGAATCTTTATTTATTTCTGGGGGGGGGACTTTTTAGTATATTTAAGAGGGGCAAGCATTAGACTTATGGCAGTACTAGGTCCTAAACAGAACTGCATATATTGGGTCTTTATTTTCTTTATGTTTGTTTCTTTGGGAATTTCTGTTTATAGAAGAGAGTTATATTGTCTAAAGCTAGACATTCCCATTCTGTTAGACTTTCATATTAAAAAATAATAAAGCAGCAAGAAACCTTGAGGTGTCTCTAGACAAGCAGTTCTCAAAGTGTGAGAGTCTTCTAGGAAGTCTATGAAGTCAAAACGATTTTCATAACAATACTAAGGTGCTTGAATTTCTAATGTAGTAAATGTTTGTAGATGTAGACCCCCATAAACAAAAGCTCTTTGAAAGGTCCTCAATAATTTTTAAGACTGATAATAGGTCCTGAGACCAAAAAGGTTGAGAACTACTGCCGAGTGATTTTCAAACATGCTACTTTCAATAAAGGCCACATCCAAACCTATCATCAAATGGCAATCTATGTCTTTTTCTTTATAAAGAACTCAAAAGGAGATAACACATTTGAATCTGCAACTGAATTAGTGCATTGACAAAGCATTACAGTTTTTAATATTGTCAGAGAAGTCTTGCTAATCCAAACCATGTGTTCTCTAAGGACAACTCTGATGTCAATTATATTCTCATTTAAGGCTTAAATCAGAGTATGATATAGTGAATAGAATTCTGGTCTTGGAATTAGGAAGAACTGCATTCAAATCCCACCTCAGTCACTATTATCTGTGTGTCCTTCCTCTCTGAGTATCAGGCTTTTTATTTAAAAATAAGAGGTCTAGACTCAGAAAACTCTAAAATTCCTTTTAGCTCCAAATTTTTGATTCTATGAGAAGTCTGACATGATAGAAAAAAACAAGAGCTTTACCATTATTTTTCCCCAGTTGATATCTGATATGTGATATGTGATAGATGACAATTGAATATCTAATCTGTATTACTTTTTGCTTTCTTAGTTGTGACATATTGAAATCTTATCAAGAAACAAAGTTTTTACCTGTAAAATGCTTTATGAACTTCTCCTTTAAGTTCAAATCCCTTGGAAGTATTTCTACAAAGGAAATACATGCTATTTTAGTTGTTTTAAAATATTTTAAATACTGAAATAAACAAACTATTATACCATGAATTTTATGCAAAAATGCTTCTATCCACTAAGCATACGTAAGAGCAAAATTTTATTCCCATTGTTAAGACTTTCTTAGCAGAATATAAATTTAAATGTACACAACCTCATTGAAACTGTTACTGTTGTGTTCTTAACCTTGTGCTTAGAGACTATGAATATGCTTACTGTATAAACATAAACATCTTAACAACAGAACTGTAACACAGAATTTCAATCATCCTTTAGGTTTTAATTTGAGAATGGTAATTTGCACAAAAATTTACACCCAGCATGTGCTGACTGTGAAGTCAGGTTTGTGTTCTGCCTCTGACTTGCACTAGCTCTGTGTGACCATAGAGAAGTCATATCTCAGTACTGCACAAGTGACCCTCTAAAACTATAAATTATGGATGTGCAGCATTGGTGGAAGGAGACTTTGTACCCAGGGTTGCTTAAAATTCATGAAATCATAGGTCTGGAGAAAAAGAGTATCATTTTACTGGACTGGAAATCAGAAAGCTGGAGTTCTATTTCTGGATCTGCACAGATGTACCATAATATTTCTGCCTATCCCAAAAGCAAACATTATAAAATTCTTAAGCTCCTTGGAGACAATCACTATATGTACACACAGACATGTAAAAATTCAAATTATTACAATCATGGTTATTTCTAGAATAGGAAGATCTAAGTTCAAGCCCTGCCTCTGACCCATACTGGCAGAGTGCTGCTGCAAAAGTGATTTAACTTCTCAGTATTTTGTTCAACTCTCAAGATTATAAATTGCAGAGGTGATGACTTACATTGGTAGGAGGAGTGTCCTCACCTTGGAATTCCCTACATCAATGAAAATCTAGGTCTGATCTCCATCCCTATCTCTAATCCTTATCTCCATCCCCATCCTCTAGTCCAATACCATCGAGAGAAATTATTATTAATAACCAATTGTAGGGGAGATCTAGGCTTTTTCCCTGTCCTATTTCCTTGTTCAAAGTCCTGTCTTTGAAGGACATTACTGACTTCTGCCAAAAATTTACCCCACCTAGACCATCTTATCTAGGTGAATTCCTGCCCATTGTGTTCTACTCAGGTTTGGGTGGGGACATATTCTTTGATTAGATTGCCCAAAACTGGGCAATTTAAAAGTAAATGACATAATCAAAGTTCCATTCCCCCAGCCCAGGATTGGAGTGTGTCCACCTCTCATTGTAATATACACTCTCTCATTAATTGTTAACCAATCAGAGTTGATTGCCATCCTCAGGAACAATCAATCTTCCAAGGGCACATAAACTATTATCCCACCATCATGAGTCATCTCTGGTCCAAGAGAGAGATGTCCAACTCACTATTCCTTTTACTAATAAAATGCAAGCATTATTAACAAAAATTATTAATTATCCAGAAATTGTCTCTTGAACTCTTTAAACACCACACCATGCTGTTCTTCAATGAGCTCAACTGGAGGTGTACTAGGGTCAGTGGGAAGATAGCACTTTCCTTCCTTAAGAGCAAATCAGTGTTATTCCAATAAGCCCTGGCTTTGGCTGCTATGCACAGTGACATGAATGAAGGGCTAGATTTAGAATCAGGTACACCTGAGTTTGAATCCTACCTCAAACACAATATCCACAATATCTGTATGACCCTCAGCAAGTCACTTATCCTCTCTCTTCCTCACTTTCTTCATGCAGAAAATGAAGATGAAATAGCACGTACATCAGGGAGTTGTTGTGAGGATCCATCTGAGATAACACTTGTAAGGAGTTTTTCAACCTTTAAAGTGCTATGTACATGCTAGCTTTAATTAGTTACTTCTGCCACCAACACCCAAGGCTTTAGGGGAATCTTCTATTCTGGAAAATCTCAGATCCAGAGTAATCAGGCTGCTGTGTAGTTTTTTTCTCATTGCCTCCTTATAGACTTATTCCAACAATGACTACTATAATGATGATGAAGATAGCTTACATTTATATAGCACTATAAGATATTAAAAGTGCATTCTTCACAAAACTGTGTAGAAGGTAATGCAAGCATTATTCCCATTTTACAGATAAGAAAATGGAGATTCTTAGAAATTAAATGACTTTCCCAGGGTTATCTAGATAGTACAGGTCAAAGATAACAAATTTATCTTGATTTAAAATCTAGAATTCTTTACATTATATATCACTATTACAACTTTATTATAGAATTACTTCCAGGTACACAAAAAGAAGGCACCCGTAATACACACATAATAAGGAGGGGGATATTTATTACCCATATCCCACAGGTTATTCTGGGCCAAAATTCAGCATACCGTTACCCCACCCCCACCCCTGCAAAGGTCAATGCTATCTGTACTTGTGCACACACAGAAGAGGCAATTCTTCCACCCAGAAGCTATGCATGTTCTGGAGGCCAATGAATGATATTCACCCTTGGTATAAGGGAGAATATAGGCACATACCCAATGTAGACAGCTTAGTATCAACCAGCCAGCACACCTTCATAAACCAGGTACAAGCTTAACTTAAAGGGAAATAACATCAGACCTTAACTCTATTCCATTAATAGTCCAACTAGCAACTGGCAGCTTCACAATATATGCAAGCAAGAATTAGGTTGTCAGAATAATTAGTAACAAAAATGCATTTTCTTTATGTGAATCTGCTAGTGCTCTCCCATACAACATGAATTTATTCACTAATGTCAACTGTTTCAGAAAGCACTCACAAATATACACTATGCTACCATACATAGCAATTTGGTCTCTGTGGTATCAATATTCTATGTGATACTTGGCAAGGTAACTAGAGTGATCCTTTCTGGGAAGCTAGCCAGCTGAATGCAGTAGAGGATTTTATAAATACTTTTAATGGCTAAAAGCAATTTCAAAATGTTGTTTATTCTATAGAAATAAATGTGTCCCTCCAATAATTTAATTATATTTTCTTTTAACATGATTTTTAAAAAAATTATGTGTGCTGCTTTTGACCCAGAAATCCCATGTTCATTACATAAATATGTGTATGTATGTATGTATGTACGTATGTATACATATATATAATATATATATATATATATATGTCCCTTCTTTGTAGAAGTGGGTAGCTTTGAGTGTAGAAAACAGCTATAGTGTCAAATGTTGTTAAGTACTAGACTAGTTTTTTTTCTTCTTTCCATATTCTTTGTTTAAAAGGAATAAACAAAGAGTGGGGGAGGAGATATGGACAAACTGGAAGATGAGAGGATGTTTTTAAAAATGGTAACAACAGAAACATGTTTTAAAACTTGTGGGCTCAAAATTCACCAAGGAAAAAAAACCCCATAAGTTTTAATAAATTATGTCACCTTTATTATAATTAGTAATGTTATTGTGATTAATTTCTATAGAGAGCTTAGATGTAGGTTTTTAGTACTATAATAAATAAATTTTCTATTACTTAATGATTAAGTAATTCACAAATTTACCATTTGGTAGCCAAAGCAGTGTGTAAAGCATGACTTTTGTGAAGTATTTTTTGGATAGAAAATATAAGATAAGATAAGATGATGTTATCAAATGATTTTTATAGGTTGAATTTTCCCAAAAATATTAAAATAAAATCTCTGGTTAATGTTTAATAATCATCTTAAGGAACCTCAAAGGAAATGTAAATGAGTCAACCCCTTAAAAAAATCCTCTTGGGCTGAATTAATAGGAGTACACTGAGCAAAACAAAGTAGGCAACATTTTGGATGCATTCTACTCTGATCAGACTACCTCTGAAATACTCTGCTTGATTCTTGGTCACTGTATATCAGAAGAGACATTGACCAGCTGGGATGTGTATAGAGGGAGCTAAAAGTGTTGAATGAATATCATTTGATAGATTAGGGGAAGGCTTTAGCCTGGAAATGAAGGAACCTAGGAGATACCTACCTATTAGACAATTAGAACTATCTAATAATGGAATGGTTTGATCTAGTTAGTAGTGATTTTTCTCTTACTAGAGGAAGGCTTCAGTGAAAGACTGGAATATCACTCTGTGGGGGAGTCATTGGGGTAGGGGATGTTTTTTGCTTTGTTTTGTAGCCTGAGGGCTTGACAAAGTTCCTTGTACATGGCAGATACTTACTGAATTTGTAAAATGGATTGTACTTCTGCTTTGTTCCCAAATATAAACTATTAAAATGGTGGGAAACAGATTTTGGATCAACATGAGTAAAAACTTCATAACAGTTAGAACTCAAATAATAGAATAGTTTGTTCTGGTTGGTTGGTGAGTTTTCTATTACTATTATAAGTTCAAGGAGAAGCTAGAATATCACTTGTTTGGGGAGTCATAAGTTGGGTGAACTAGATGACCTCTTAGGTTCCTTCTAATATAGCAATTTTATGAATCTATGCAGTAGAAGCCAAATAGCCAGCATCTTAGGCCAACTATTTAAATATTCCTTTGGGTCTGAGACAGATGGGTATTTAAGAAGATATAAATCTTCTTTCTCCTTATCTTCTACCTTCCAAACTTTTCTCAAGACCTGCTCATTCTGTTTTGGCATTATTGGTCACATCCCTCCCTTTTTCTTCACTTGAATAGCTATTGTTCCAATTGGGGCCTCTCTGATGTGACTAACTGATTTTGTCTACAGTGTTTCCCCTCTCCAATTCATCCTTTACATAGCTGCCAAAATTATCTTTCTAATATAAAAGTCACTTACTGGCTCAAAAATCTTGAGTGACTCTCCATTGTCTAGACAAACTCTTTAATCTGGCTTTTAAAATCTTTTCTTACAGGGTCTCAATTTGCCTGTCCGTCCTTATTTCACTCTTCTTTTTTACCATATTATAACACAACTAGACTGCTGGCTGTTCCTCAATTTTTTCAACTACATTTAATCACCATAAGCCATCTCTCCCTTCAACCCTCCTCCCATGCCAGAATTATATTCACTTCACATCTCCACCTGTTGGAATT